CTTGCTGTCCAGAGTTTTCTCAGGGATCTCAGGGTTTTGGTGCCTCCCAGGACAGGTTCCCCAGCCAGGCTGCAATGCAGGGATCACCATGGCACAACCTCACAGGCAGCTGAACTTGGAGCAGCAGGAATGCTCAGCCTGGGATTTGTTTGACCCAAGAGATCAAGCAGGAGGAAGGAAGGAAACAGTGAGGAGTTGGCTCAGCCACAAGGAACTGGAGGTGGTTACAGCTGATCTTAAAAAGTCCTTTTTATAAAAGGGGCATTAAAAAGATTCTGCTGTTAATTAGCAAAAACTGTCTAAGGCACAAGGTGGAAAGGCACTTCTTCATTTCTGCTCCAGGCAGGGCACAGGCAGGATTGATCCCGGTCCCCTCTGCACTGGGAGCTGCTGGGGGGCCCTGGCGGCACCGTGGCCATCCCAGTGGCACCTCCTGGCACCACTGGGAACAAAGGCCCCACTCCCATCCCTTCCAGCTCCATGGGACACTCCCAGCAGCTTTAGGGGGAGAAGGATCAGGCTCAAAGTATTTCTGATTGGTAAAACACACTCTGACCCGGGTAGGAAAATCCCAGGGTCATGCCAAGGAGATCTGTGTCACAGGGAATCAATTGATCATTGCTCACTCTTAATACAGGTATTTCTAGGGAGGAGGAGGAGTTAATTCGTTTTTTCCAGTGACTGGTAGTAGGTGGTGAGGACTTTCCAGGCTTTGGGGGCCATGAAGCCGTCCGGGGGGTTCTCCCCTTCCCGAGCAAGCTTCCTCATGCGTGTTCCTGAGATGAAGTCAAAATCATCGTGCCTGTGTGAAACAGAGACAGGTGACATCAGCACAGCTGGCCCGAGTCACCCCCTCAGGGCGCCTCATCCCAGAGGAGCTGCAGTGTCCATAATACTTCCCAGCTGAGGGAGGCTGCCTTCCTACAGCCTCTCAGCACCCAGCCTGTGCTGCTTTTCCTCCCTGGTGGCATCTTTAGTTGCATGACACCTGGGAACAGCTTTTGGAGGAACACACAGGTGACTTTCCCAGGTTCTGCCCCCATTCCTCTCCTAGGGAGGAACATGGCTTTTCCCCGTCTCCTGGAACGCTGCGAGCCCGAGGTGCCTGTTACAGTGTGCTTGGATATGCCTTTCCCCCATTCCCTGGGACCCTGTGACTCTGATCACAGAACCCTGGACTCTCCTTCCTGCCCTGACAGGGTTGTCAGAGAGGCAAGGAGCCCTCCCTGTCCAAAGCCTGGATAAACCCCTGACATTTCCTGTTCATTCTCTTTTGCCCCGCTCTCCCTTTGGACATCACAGAATAAAGAGAGCTGCACCATCATATCTTGGGGTAAGAGCCTCTTTTGGAAATCTTTGCCATCTCCTGATATTCCTCCCCTCAAAGCCTCAAATCTCTGGGCTAGCCTGCTAATTTAGGGGGCTGAGAGGGGAGAAACATCAGGCGCCCACAAACCGCACGTCGTGAAAAGCGCGACGTGGCTGCTGCGTTACCTTTTGGGGTCGTAGAAATCCATGGCTCTTTTGAGCTTGTTGTAGGCAGCCACCCGGAAGGGGAGGATCTCCACGGAGGTGAGGCCGGGGGCCATGCTCAGCACCTTCCCACCGTGCGTGGCCTCGTACAGGTCCTGCTTGGTGTCGGGGTGCGGCATCCCCGCCGGGTCGCGCCCCACGATGTAGAAGTTGGCCCCCGCCACCATCCGGGCCCGGCAGTGCCACTGCACCTGCAGGGAGGGACACGGGGACTGGGCTGGGGGACAGGGAGGCCCCGGGGATCCTCGGGCAGCGTGTGGCAGCTGAGCTGGTTCCGATCTGGCGGCAGTTTGATTTTGCGGCGTGCCAAAGCGGCGCACACGGGAGGGGAGGTTCAGCATCTGCCCCTTCCATCCCACTGGTTTAGGGAGAGAAGGGAAACCCCTGGGGGCAAACAAATGAGCGCCCCTGCCCACCAGAAAAAGGTGAAGCCTGTGTATCCCTTCTCCCCAGCCCTCCACAGCCCAGGAGAGGAAGGGAGCTGATGGAGCAGAGCTCTGTGTGGGATGCTGCAGCAGCAAGCGCAGGTAAACCATGCAGGGATCCAAAGTGAGGACATGGTTCCATCCCCCTTCCTGGGGTTTTCCAGGCAGGCTGCCAGCACAACCCCCACGGACAGGCTGCCTGCCCTGCCCTGCTGCGTTACCTCCGTGGGGCCAGCGTAGAGCATGGGAGAGGGGAAGATGGCCACGATGGTGGACTTGGGGTCCAGGACTTGCTCCTCCAGCACGGCCGCGTGCTGCTTCATGCGCCACTCCAGAGGGACGTCGTCGTCCTTGGTCCAGCCGCCCAGGGGGTGCAGCAGCAGCACGGGGTTCTTGTAGCCCCTCTCCAGGAGCTGGCGCCGCGTGTCCTGCATCAGCAGCGCGTGCCCGTTGTGCACCGGGTTGCGCAGCTGGAAGGCGAAGACGGCGTCTGGAAGGGAAAGGTCGGGGGGTCACAGGGCTCAATCCCACACTCTGAGCTTCCACAGAGCCCTGACAGACCTGTGTGTGCCCTGACAGACCTGTGTGTGCCCTGTCTGAGCCCTGACAGACCTGTGTGTGCCCTGACAGACCTGTGTGTACCCTGTCTGAGCCATGACAGACCTGTGTGTGCCCCTCAGCCCTGACAGACCTGTGTGTGCCCTGTCTGAGCCCTGACAGACCTGTGTGTACCCTGACAGACCTGTGTGTGCCCCTCAGCCCTGACAGACCTGTGTGTCCTGTCTCCACACAAGCAAAGCCCTGAACGCCTCAGCTGAGTGTTTCACACACACACATCACCCTGCCAAGGTTATTTTCACTGCAGTCCCTTGCTTTGGGGCTGATTTCAGCCCTGTCAGCTCTCCTGCAATGTTTGTGCATGGCACTGGACACCTGCACTGATGGCTTAAGTGATCTGTCACCTCCCCAAGCTCAGTGGCACCTGCAGGAGGGCCAGTGCTCTTTCTCCAGAGTGAGGGTGGGTGTCTGACCCTTGCTATCCCCAGTGGACGGGGCTTGGAGCAACCTGGGAATGTGGAAGGTGTCCCTACCCATGGCAGGGGGTGGATGAGATGAGCTTTAAGGTCCCTCCAACCCAAACCATGCTGGGATTCCATGGGACAGAGAGCTGGGAGAAGACACCTGAGCTGTGCCCCAGGTGTGAAGGCCAAGAATGCCAGTGCAGAGAGGATCTGACCTGCCAGGGGGATGCGAGCAGGATGCTCAGCACTTCCCAGCCCTCAGAGCAGCACACTGAGGACACAGCCCATCACAAGCACTGCCCTAACCAAGCAGCCCTGTGCCACTTTTTGTGCCGTGCCCTGAGTCCCCCTGACTGCCCACCCTCCCGAACAGCCCTGTTTTGGGAGCATCCAGAAGCCACCTGGAAGTGCTGTGAGCTTGAGAGGAGTCATGGATCACACCAAGGCCCAGTGGGGCAGGAAGAGCCCTGTCACTGGTGTAAGCCAGGGCACTCACCAGCATTCATTTCCCTGAACTTCTGCTTGAGAGCCAGCGGGGTCAGGCGGTACTGGTCCAGCCCATCGTTCCATTTGATCTTCTCCAGGACCTGCAGGTCTCCACCAACCAGCCAGTCTCCACTCTCCATCACCATCTGGGAATGACACACACCTTCAGTGCAAAGGGGATGGCACACTTTTCCTTCTCCCTCTCCCAGTCTCATTTGAAAGGTGTGAGGTTCAACCCCGTTGGAGAAGGACCTTCCCTTGTCTCAGGTGGAAAACATCATCACAGTGACCACATGAAGGAATGTCTTGGGCAGCAAAACCTCATCAAGTGGGGCAGCAGCCACCCAGTCCCCACCCAGCTGGGTGCTGCACTCCCCTGTGGCAGCCAGCAGTCCATAGGAAGGCACAAAACCTTCCTCCACCTCCCTCTCTGCTTTCCTCCTGGGAATACACAGGAGGAATGAGCCTCCTGCAAGGCACACACCTGCTGCTGATTAATTAAACCAGGCATTTTCAGGGAGGGGAAAGAACTACCACAGCCTTTTAAAGCAGAAACTCAAGTCACTGTGTGGAACTCAGAGCTCTCCTTTTCTGAGAGATGATGCTCCTTGTACTGCCACACACTGAGTGGGAAGAGAGAAGCTGCAAAAACACACCAACCCTGCTGGCTGCCTGTAGGGAAAAGCAAAAAAATTCACTCCTGCCAGCTTGGGATGGGCTGGTGACCAAAAAAATCAGTCCTGCCTACTTGGGATAGACAGGTTCCCAGCAAACAGCTGGGCTGGAAATGCAGACAGGAAACCCATCACCCTCAAAACCTTGGAAAAATTCACTTCTCCATCCCCTGGCCATGTTTCACCCCCGAGGCTGTGCTTCCCGTGGCAGGGAGGGGCTGGACCTAACACTGTCTATTTGAGCCAGGTCTTACAAGCTCTCAGAGACAAGTATTACACCCTTGATAGCTCAGCTACCTCAGGTGGCATAAAAGTATGAGGATGGCTCCTGTGGCAGTGTTGGGAACAGAAAAGTTTTAATAAAAGGCAAAATAAAAAAGAGAGAGAAAAGTCAAGCCAGGTTTTTATATAGAGAGAAAAACCGAGCCAGGGAAGAAGTTCTTGCTCCTGCTAAAACACTTCACAAAAGCAATTTACTTCTTGTGTTCTCTTATTTTCTAGTGAATTACTTAGGTGGGACTTGCTTTTGTCTATTTAGCTGTCCTTAAGTTTGAGGTGAAGTCCCCAAAGTCCTATGAGGCATCTTTGAGGAGAGAAACTTCTGGGCTTTTTTTTAAGTTGACAAATGTCGGAACTCAACATGTCCCTCAGACATTTTTGGAGGTTCCGGGCCCAGGTCAGAAGCATTTGAGACCCTGGCAGGCAGCTGGAAACAGCTGTGATTTTGGGCTTGAACCATGGAACAATTTACCAGCCTTGCAGGGAGAACAAGAAGTCACAAAAGTTTAGATATTATAGCAGAAGTAGTCACAAAGTAAAGGGAAGAAATTTTGAGTGCTGTACAGGGGGTTTTGGTTTTGTACATGGGGGTCAGAGGTTTAAGATGGATTTGGGATTTGGGCCTGCCCTGTCCTCCCTCTTTCTTCTTCCTTACCTCCATGTTCTTGGTGATGTTGTCACTCAGAGATTGGTTTAGAGTAGAAAGGCACCATTTAATATAGGTAATAGGCATTGGGGAAAAACTGTTAACATGTAACACATAATGTACCATATAAAAGATAGAAAATCACCATTTAATATAGGTGATAGGCATTGGGGAAAAACTGTTAACATGTAACACATAATGTACCATATAAAAGATAGAAAATCACCATTTAATATAGGTGATAGGCATTGGGGGAAACTGTGAACATGTAACACGTAATGTACCATATAAAAGATAGAAAATCACCATTTAATATAGGTAATAGGCATTGGGGTAAAACTGTAAACATGTAACACATAATGTACCATATAAAAGATAGAAAATCACCATTTAATATAGGTGATAGGCATTGGGGAAAAGCTATAACCATGTAACACGTAATGTACCATATAAAAGATAGAAAATCACCATTTAATATAGGTGATAGGCATTGGGGGAAAACTGTAACCATGTAACACATAATGTACCATATAAAAGAGAGCAGCAGCCCTGGGCGGGGAGAGAAGAAGCAGTCGGGGTCAGAGAGGATGTCAGGGTGTGTGTGTGCCTCTGCCTGAGCTCTGAGCAAACCACAGCAGCCCGAGGAGAAAATCTTCTAGATAACTTCCAATAAACTGCCTTGAGACCAAACAACAGAGACTGCCGAGCCTTTCTTTGGAAGCACGGCTTGGAGGAGAGACTTTCCCACCACACGGAGCCAACCCCTAGGGATGCTCTCCGGCGCACAAAGACCGACTCGTTTCGCTCCGCCAACAAGGGGCGCGGCATCCCCTTGGGCCCACCTGGATGTGCGGGTGGCGGGGGCAGGCGGTGCCCCAGACGCGGGCGCAGCGCTCCTCCTTCCTGTGCTGGAAGAACTCGGGGCCGCGCAGCACGGCCAGCCGCCGGCCCTGGAAGCTGAGCGCCAGCGCCGCGCTGCCCTCCAGCCGCTGCTTGTCCTCCGCCGACAGCGGCAGCACGATGGGGATGCTCAGGTTCACCACGCCGTCTGCCGAGAGAGCGACAGCGCCTCAGCGCCCTGCGGGGTGCCTTCAGCACGCTGGGTTGCTCACTCCGCATCCCTGCCTTGCTCGCTGTGGGATAATCCTCATTTAGCCTGGAAATCAGCTTTGCGCCTTTAGGACCGGTTGTGAGAGTGAAGGGCGGGAGAAGCGGGTTGTTTTCACACCCTGAGCTGCTCCCCTGCATCCTTCTCACAGACAGAGCTCGCCTCTGCCTTTAGTTTTTAGCTGCCTTTAGTTTTCCCTGCACTGAGGTTTTTCCTTTTGTTTAGACCTGGTCAAACCTGCTCTGGACTGAACACCCAGAGCAGCAGCAGCATCTTGCACCAGGCTGGTCATTGGCCGCAGCATTTCCAGTGCCAGGGGAACTGATAAGGGACTGATAAGAGACAGAGTGAGCTGAGCTGAGGGAACTTCCTGACTTTGTCATCTCTTCCAACAGCCAGAGGTTCTACTGTTTAATATTGCTCACTTTTTTCTGCTGGTGAATGCTTTACCTGCTAAATAAGCAGGTTATTTTCCACTTTTCTCCAATAAAATCTTTTCCTGAACCAGCTGGGGGAGAGGCTGCTTGAAGAGGAACCCCTTTGGAGGTTTTCTCCCAAATTTGCCCTAAACCAGGACAAAGGGACACCAGCAGCACCGTGGGGATGCTCACAACCCTCATGCAGGAGGGTTGAACACCCTTCCTGCATGAACAAAAATTTTAAACCAGCCCCAGGAGCACAGGAAACAGAGGTTTTCATGGAAAATCAGTCATTGCAGCAGTTTTCTCTGCACTGCTAATAAATGGTGATGTTAGCAGAATATAAAAGCTCCTTATCTAAGGGCCAGAGGTGTCTCCTAGACACATGGAGCATCTCAGTTCCTGTACTCTCCTTTTCCCTGGTTTTTCTTTGTTAGCTGCTTGTGAAGGTGAAAAATTTAAATGTGCTGGCAAAATGCAATCCTAGACAATTGAAAAATTTCAGTGTGCTTGGAAAAAGCCTTCTCCTCCAGGAGAACCACCTCTGTGGAGATGGCTCCAGGCTGGTGTTCCATGGAGCACCCCATTCCCTGCACAACCTCCTGGGCTGCCTCTTCTACCACACTTTTAATTTTTTTTTTCTTTTTCTTTTTTGGTTTTTTTCCTGGCTATCTCTATATTGTTACTGCTGCCCCTTTACATCTCTGCACTGCCCATTTCAAACCTGTTTTCTGTGTGAGTCTGCAAGTGCACACCCAGTTTCTAATTTCAATGTTGTCCCGAAGCAGATTGAAATCATGTTGGTTTTAACCCAACTCTCCCAATTCCCCAGTGTTGCAGCAAGGTCCTCCCATTTCTCCTTGGATTTTTGGATGTTAACAATATTCCAATGTCAGTACAGGAGAATTGATCTCTTTGATGGGTTTCTAGTCACAAACAAATCACTGATTCAATTCATTCTGATCTGACCAAAATCAGGTTGGACCCTTGAGAGTCTTAATTTGAGGATTTTGACTGTGATATAGATTTTTACTTTAATTTTTATTAAATTATTTGCATTTACTTTAAATTCATGACTGGGTATCATTCATCTGTCAGGCAGCAATTTTCATGAATAATCATAATTATATTCACAGGGGATCCAATCAATATCAACTTCATACATTTAAATCATATAAATAATGATCAGTTAATGAAACTGGCACAGAAAAAAAAAAGAAATAAAGCTGCATTATGAAACCAACAAATGCTGCTGAAAGCGAGTATCTTCAGCTCCATTCCCAAATGCAGGATGGAGAGGTAACAAAAGATCACTCCAGCAGAGGTAATTATAAAATTACACAACTGGGATCTTTGTGCAGGCTGCTCCATAGGACAGGGGTGTGTCAGGCCACGTCACAACTGCCTGGATCATAAAAATGGGCCATGGCTGTAATAATTTCATAATAATTTCAAGTTGTTTTTTTTTGGTTTTGGTCGTTTGGGTTTTTGTTTTTTTTGGTAAATCTCAAATCATTATAGGCAGAAAGAATCTCAGTTGAGGTAGTTTGTGCAGAGCCCGAGAACAGTTCCATACATACCAGCTACCAAGCGCCTCTTTCCTGGGAGAACACAAACATAATTAAGATAATTAACGCTCAGGGGCACGTTACAGAAACCACTTCAAGACTCAAAGCATTTGAAAGCTCCTGCTGGTGTGGTTGTGATCCTACCACAGCCTCACACGGGGTGTGAGCCAACACCTGCACTGTCACTGCCACCCCTGTGACAGAGTCAGGGCTGCACTGCTGCAGGTCCACCCCCCTTCCTGGCGGCCCTGCACAAAGCACATCACCCTGCTGGGGCATCCAGGAGGGATTTTCTGCAGGGCACTGGCTTGAACAAGTGTCCCCAAAACACCACGGGAGCTGCCCAAACCATCAGCCACCCCAGGGCACAAGGGCTGTGCCGATGGCTCTGGGGAGAGCAGGCTCGAGCCTCTCCCTGGCAGTGCCGTGTCCTGGCCTCAGCACCAGGAGATGGAACCCTCCACCACTTCCCAAAGCTTCTCCAGGAGCACCTGGTGTTCTCTGTCCCACTCAGATGTCACCCGAGGGCCTGGCCACATGGAGACACCCATGGAGACAGGATCTCCAGCTGCTGCTGCCCTCTGCTACACAGCCCTCGCTCTGGAGAGCTCATCCCCTGCAAAGCTGCTCTCCTGGCCTTTGTCCTGCTCCCCAGAGAGCTCTGCAAACCCTGACCATCTGCCCATGGAGCTCAGAGGAGATGTGCTCAGGGATGCTGGCAGCTTTGGGAGGGCACCCCAAAAGCAGACACGCTCTGGGATGAGCTTCTGGCACAAAGTACGGGGCTCTGGGGCAATGTGGCCATCCCAGGGCGCTCTGCGACCTCCCCAGGCACAACAGGCTGCTCAAAGACCACAGGGGAGGCTCTGATAACAGGGACATGTGCTCCTGAATGCTGTTTGCACACTGGGCAGAGGTGAAAGGCTATGGCGTGTCTGGGAGCAGAGCCCCCACGCAGACACTCCCACAGTGCAAACTGAGCACTCCTGAGCTTTGCCTCTGCTGCACGGTGCCCAAATCTGAGCAACAGCAGCAAATCGCTGCCCTGTGGGACCACAGGATCGTCTAGAAGGCATGCAAGGCTCAAAGGGACTTGCTCACCCAGATCCCAGAAAGCAGAGATCACTGCCAGGTCTGCAAACCCCAGTGTGAGCACCCCATGTGCAGATGAAGTCGCAGCAACGGCATCCACAGCTGAGAAACGGGGTGGAAACATCTGTGCCCCAGTCTCAGCTGTGGATGGCATCACCTGAGCCCTCTTTCCCTCTTCCAGGGATGAAGCACCCCTAACAGGATGCTAATGCATAGATAAATCAGATTTATTTCAAGCTACCATGCTGGAGAAGCAGGGAAATGGGGTGGGGGGCAAAACCAGGCTCTGCTCCTGTTTCCAAGAAGCAGCTGCCTTCTCCTCTCACCTCCAGCTGAGCCTGGGAACCTCCCTGCTTCCTTGGCCTTGGGTTTGCATCTCTATTTCCACCCAGCCAAGCACGGCAAGAGCCACACAACAACTCCCAGAAGGTTTGAGCAGCACCGTGTGAGATGTCAGAGCTGTGAGCCAGGGCTGCGGCCACAGCAGGGTGACCTTGGCCACCTTCAGGAGGCTGGTGTGTGCCACAGGGCAGGACAGGAGGACACAGGGGATCCATACCGTTGAGCAGGGTGCCAAAGTGCAGCACTTGCAGGTACTCTGCCTCCCGCATGAATCCTGTCAGAGGAGTGGCCCAGCCTTCGCCCAGCACCTGCACCCACTGCAGATCCAGCTGCAAAACAAACCCAGAGGGTCACACTCCTGTCACCATGTCACACTCAGAGGTTGCTTTTCCTTCCCTTCTGCTGAAACAGCATTTCATTTTCTTTTGCTTCAAATACAGGACATTCATAAAGGGGAGAAAGACATGGAGGATGTATCTTGGGGCTTTTTAAGCCAGGCTCATAGTTTCACAGCACAGTTTAGAAACCCAGAATGGTTTGGGTTGGAAGGGGCCTTAAAGCCCATCCAATCCCACCTCTGCCATGGGCAGGGACACCTTCCTCTGCCCCAGTCTGGTCCAGCCTGGCCTTGGGCGCTTCCAGGGATCCAGGGGCAGCCACAGCTGCTCTGGGCACCCTGTGCCAGGGCCTCCCAATATCCCATCTAACCCTGCCCTCTGGCAGCTGAACCTGTGGGGCTGTATGGACACAGCAGAGGAGGCTGACACCCTGCAGCACACAGTGGGGAGGCAATGGCTGAGGATCAGGAACCCACCTCAGCTTGCCATAAACCACAGCCACAAAAGGTCAGGGCCATCAGAAGAACACAGGCCCCTTGGGCAACATCCTCCTGGAAGCTTCCACCCTTGGAGCAGCTAAGCAGTGTCAGAGCCTGTGTGTGACAGTACCTTCGTGATCTCCAGTGCTGGCAGCTTCTCTGCCTCAGCCCGGACACTGCTGAGTTTATCCTCAGGCACAAAGAGCTCTAGAACATCCTTGACTGAGCCCTGGGGCACGATGTTCTGAAAGACAGAGGCAGGCAGCGCTTGTAGCACGCTGGTTTTCACAGGCACACCAAAAAGGCAGTGTCCCAGAGCAGGGTTCCAAAGCTGCCAGTGATGGTGACATAAAAGTGACCCACCTGTGCCTGCAGGAGCTCCACGACCTGCTCGATGCACTCAGACACCGATGCAATGTTTGTTTTCAGCACCAGCTCAGGAGCTTTGGGTTTCTCGTACTCTGAGTCAATCCCCGTGAATCCTACGGACAATTAACCCCCAAATTAAATTTGTTTAATAGAATAATCGGTGCCTTAGAGCCAAGAACACTATATAAAAAACCAGGGGGCATTCAACCATGCAGGGTACAACAAATGACACTTATCACAGTAAGATTAGGGGAATAAGATCCTCTTGTGCACTACAAAGGGCCTCTAGGCACCCAGCCCTATGTGTGGCACTGCCGGGACAAGGCATCCAAAGCTTTGGAAAGCAAAAGGCAAAATAAGGTCTCACTCCTCCATACCTTTGATCTCTCCAGCTCTTGCCTTTTTGTACAGGCCCTTCACATCTCTGCTTTCACAAATATTTAGAGGAGCATCTACAAAGATTTCAAAGAAAGGAAGTCCAGCTGCCTCATGAATTTTCCGTGCGTTCAGACGATCCTGTTAGAAGAAAGATGGGAAAAATCTGAATTGCAGCAAAAAGACCTCCCTGGATTTTGACACAAGTAAATTAATCTCTCTTATAGATTTATTCAATGTACACTAGTTCTAAAAAGGGTTTTTCATCTCATTTCCCTCCTTTTCTTTAAAGATACTTAAAAAAAAAATTATAAAAATCTACAACTCTAAGCTGTTTTCATCTTTTCCCACAAAAATCCTCAAGATCTTTTCGTTAGGCAGGACAGCAGAAATTTAGATTGTGAATAATTATCTGCCCTATGTGAAAATGGTCAGATGTTTTCTCAGATGATCTCAGAGGTCTCTTCCAACCTCAGTGATTCCTTGATTCTGTGAAAAAAGGAACTGCTTGCATCAGCCTGATACCAGCAGCTAAGGAAGTGAAAATCACAGTCAAATCTTCAGAAAAAAAACAACAGTGAGAGGTCTAGGACAGGCTGCTGCTTCTGTGACTCTTTTCTGCCTCTGAGGAGTTAATAGGAGGGAGATCTTAAACTCCTCTTAGCTCTTCATCAATTTGCAACACTGAATTTATCCAGCCAGGCCGCTGCCCTCCGAACACCGATGGCGCGCGGTTGCGTGTCAGCGGCGCTCTGCATCCAGCAGCGCACTCGGGAAACCCTCTCCACAAACCATCTCCATCATCTGAGGTGAGACTGAGATCCTCTCTGGTGTGCTCAGACACTTGCCTTGGTGAAGGGGGAGATGAAGCTGGTGATGCAGACGAGCCCCGCGTCGGCGAAGAGCCGCGCCACCTCGGCGATGCGCCGGATGTTCTCCTCGCGGTCCTGGGCCGAGAAGCCCAGGTTCTTGTTCAAGCCGTGCCGGACGTTGTCGCCGTCCAGGGAGTAGCAGGGGATGCCATGAGCCACCAGGTACTCCTCCAGAGCAAAGCCAATGGTTGTCTTGCCAGCACCAGAAAGGCCTCGGGGAGGTAGGAAAGCGAGGGGTCAGGTTTGAGGTCAAGAGAGTCAAAATGAGTGACACCGGCGGCCAAACTCCTTCTGTCTGAAGTTCCCTACCTCGTTCCTTCCTAAAGGAAGTGGATTCATCCTTCACAGATGAAGGATGAACCTTCACAGATGAACCTTCACCTTTTCAACCCTTATTATTGGAGGGATGGCATTAATGCCCTGAGGAAAGCATCTACAGCCCAACCTCTGGAGGGGTCTAACCCAGCAGTGCGTCTTGCTGGGCCACGCTGGGTTCCAGGAAGCAGGGGAGGTTTGAAAGGATGCTGCTTCCTCCAGGTCTCTCCTCATCTTCCTCTTCCTCCCCCTGCTCCCACTGTCAAGAGCCAGCTGCTCTCCTATTCTGAACCCAAGGAGAGGCTCTTGCTGCAGCCACGTGGAGTGGGACAGGCTCTGGCAGCAAAGGTCCCCCATCACCTCCTTCTCTAGGACAGTATTTGAAAGAATAATCATCAGCCAGGTAAGCTCAAACCTTTCAGACACAAGATTTTTGAGTAACACTCAAAGAAGGAAGGAAACTGCCTTGGGTGGGGCTTTTGGCTTCAGAAACTACACAAAAGCAGATTGGGCGCTTCAAAATTGAGGAGGAAAACAGAACAGAAATGTGCTTTAATCCAGCATCTACAACCTAAGGTGACAGGAAGGGAAATTAGAATGGCTTTACGAATCCTTCCAAGCGTGTCCTTCAACATCCTCCAGCAGCCAAAGAAAATGCCAATATTTAACAAGCAAAGGAACAACTGGTCAACTGGCAAAAGACAGACTTGTCTAAATATTAGAAATGTAAAATGCAATTGTCATTTCTGGCAGACCCTAATCCCCAAACAATGAGTTTCTACTTCAAGGCAGAAGAGAAGGGCAAAAAAAAAAAAAACAAATGCAAGGGATTGCTTCCAACATGACTCTGTGGCTGGGAGTGTTTATTCTCCAGACAAGGTGACTGCCTCTTGCTGCCTCAAACACAGCAGACCTACACGTCCCAAAAACCTTCCCACCCCTCCTGAATGAAAACATCCGTGTTTTGGACAACCCTAGGTACGTTCCGCTGCCAAAGACTGGCTGGATTTGAGCCAAGGCTTCTTCAGCTACACACTTGGGAACAACAAGTGCTACCCCGTGGGCCTCTGACATGTTCAAAGGAGGCTGAGAGCAGCTGGGAAATCCCTAAAATCATTAGTTATGGGCAGCAGCTGCCAGGGAGAACATCTTGCTGCGCCAGCACCGCGCGTCTGCGTTTCCCACGTGGGGATGTTTTGCAATCCCCGGCTCGCAGGGAGCGCTGACGTTTCCTGCAGATCCCAAATCCCCACCTGCCAGCCATGCTGATGGAGTTTCACAGGTGAGGCCACGCTTTCACACCCAGACAAAAATACCTGTGAGCCAAACGGTGCAGCCTCGGAACCCTCCCCTGGTGCCGACAACTTGTCCTCTCTTACTCCTGCTGACATGATGGGCTTGGTAAACCACGTTGGTGGATCCCTGAGGAAACAGAGCAGAACAAAGCACTTCTGTTACCTTTGCTGCTCTCAGGGCACAAGATAATCTCTGCTGGGACAAAGAGATGGGAGAGAAATGCAAATTCATTAATGAGGTAGCATGGTGTGGCGGTTCACATGGTGAACTCTGGTGCTTTGGTGTGAGTTGGATTTCTGTCCAGACTCATTGTTTGGAGGCTCTCTGCCTCTGCCCAGGGTGTTCCTGGTGGTGATGCCTTTGTGCCAGCAGGGAGAAGGGAGAAGGTGACTGGCTTTGCTGCAGGAGCACTGCCAGGTGACTGATCCCCCTGCAGGCAGGCAGGACACAGAGCCTGGGCAGAGACACCCTCCCTGCCTTCTCAACAGTTTCAAACACAGACAGACTCAACTATTATTTTAATCATGCTTGCAAAACAAGAGCGACTTCAGGTGCTAATTTACTGGCTGTGTAACACGAGAACTGCAGCTGGGGCAGGAGCAGCCCCGAGCTGGGCACACATGGGATGGGAGGCAGAGGAAATGTGATGTGTCCATGTGCCATTCCCAGCACAGCACTGAGCCAGAGGCCTGAATTTTGGTGCTTCCTAATTCTGGTGGTTCCTAACCTTGCTGACCCCAGAGTCTCTGCAGGGCTGCAGGTGAACCAGCCTGGCTGTGCCCTGCAGCTCCAGCAACAGCACCTCCACAAGGAATGTCCACATGAAATATCCACAAGACTTTGTTAATTGTGAGGATGATGTTCCCAACTGAGGCATGCAAAGGAAAGAACAAGGAGGGAACAAAGATATAAATATATCTCGGCTATATATGCAGAGAGAGAAGAGAAGGTTGCATGGAGACCTCACAGAACTTTCCAGTATCTGAGGGAGCCTACAGGCAAGTTGGAAAGGGACTGCTCATCAGACAGAACAAGGGGAATGGGTTCAGACTGAAAGAGGGGAAACTGAGGTTAGTTATACAGAAGAAATCCTTCCCTGTGAGGTTGGGGAGTGGTGCCCAGAGCAGCTGTGGCTGTCCTGGATCCCTGGCAGTGCCTAAGGCCAGGCTGGAGCAGCCTGGGACAGTGGAAGGTGTCCCTGCCATGGCAGGGTGGCACTGGATGGGCTTTAAAGTTCCTTCCAACACAAACCAGTCTGTGCTCTATAAAAAACCCAAAACATCTCTAGACCTGCCCCTGAGAAGGTGAGTGAATGCTACACGTCCTGTGACTCAGAAAATAAAAGATCAAGGCTTGCTTTCTGTAATTTGTTCTGTTTTG